GGCGGTGCGAGAGGAAGAAACACAGCAGCTCAACATTCATCGACCTATGTAATGTCAAGTGGCTCGTCGACAGGGGGAAATTTGGGTTTGTATGGTGGACTAGATGGAATATCAGGAGGCTCAAAGGCCATAACGAATCTTTATAGCAATATTTCAAGTAGTTTTCATAATGATTTTAGAGCAGATTCGCCAAGTGCTTTTACAGGTGACATGGTAACGAGTGGATCGTATTCATCGACATCAAGCTCTTAGGTATAATAAATCAGTGTTAAATAAATGTGACTGAAATAGGAGTTTTTTCTTCTTTTTATATAGAGTCTTGTTATATGAAACTAATTTTTCTTCCACGTGCTATTTTTAAGTAGTATATAGTAAAGTATAGTACATATTTGTATAAAGATTTCGTTTGATAAGTGTTGATGGTTTTTTGTATTTATTATATGCTGTTAGCAAATGTATACAAGGTGAATGAGCAACAGAGCCAATGATGAAAAGCACTGGTCAGGAGGTTAAACGATTATGGTGTTAATCATGTTAATTGAAAGGTGGGAGTGAAGAGAGAGACATTAACAATATTAACGTATTCATGAACCTAGATTAGAACAGAATCAGCTGTTATACAGTGCCATACAAACAGTTACTTGAGCCTCTTTTAGCATATAATTTAACGTTTAGTATGAAACTTTTAATATAATCTAGGCATATAATGTAATGTAATTCTGTGTTTACAGAGCTGTGTCTAAGAACATATTGAAACTATTCTGTAGAGTTCTTTATTTGGCGTTCGTTGGCCGATCAAGCAAACATCATGGCTACAAATTATTCAAAAATTAAATAAATAACGATAAATTAGAAAAATAAATCCGATCTAGCATGCGGCATACAATTATATGTAAAAAAAGAAATAAATTGAGTTTTTTTTAAGGCTTTTATCAAGCAAAGAAAATATATTGTAAAACACTTAGCCGCATTTTGAAGTGCACGTGAATTAACAAATGGTCGAAGTAAAACAAATGTGTAAAAATTTGCGCTTTCAGCAATATTGTCGAATGCCCATATATTTCGAACCACAACTCCTTGATCATTTATCAAGTTTTCTTGTTTTTTGATATTAATCCCACCTGGATGAGATTCACCATTCAAAAATGGTCGAATAATCCTTTCTTCAGCATATTTTGTATGAGCAATAAATTATCTCGCTCAGGATAAAATAACTCAATCGAACGTTTAATTAAGACATTTACTAAAACTATACATTCTGTTGTTGAATTATTCTGAATAAGAAAACTTGCTCCCGTTTTATTACGTGCTGAGAATTGGATCCACATGTATATTCTGCTTGATCATATCCAAAGGGAGCTAACAGTTCTAGATTTCTTTCTTCCGGGGATCCGACGGATACTCTATTCATCATGGAACAAGTGTTTTGGATGAAATGTTAATGAGGTTAATCCCCGATGATCAACATCATAACGAATGACGCCTCGTACAACATGCATCGCCTTGGTGACTGCTTCCACGGGACCAGTCACATTTCTCTTTTGAGCTTTATCGAGATCTTGTTGGATAATCACCATTTTTTTCACGAACAAATTGTTCACCTCGCCACACATCGATGCCGATAAAACGTCATGGTACGAGTCGGTGAATATCAACTGACCGATTAAGTGGAGTTCTGTCAATGTGTATGAAGGTAGATTTTGTAAACGAGGACTAGCTGATCGACATTCTTCTACAAATGGACAATATTTTTGATCTAGACTGTCCATCACATTCTTACCATGTCTAGCAGTTAATATAAGACAGTTGGCGAAGGTTGGTTTCACGGAGTTAATCGTGAGCTCATGTCAGATATTCGCCGAATGATGAGCTTTAGCCTAAGCAACGTTTCAAAATATATTTCGCTGTTCCGCTATTCACCAATTATTCCTATTCGTATTATAGAATATTTCATTGTATACTAGTTTAGCTATATATAGTTTATATATATCGAGTTTGATTTTGTTTTCTAATTGTTTCCCCTTCTTCAGAAATAATTAACTGCCATGCTTCCATAGATTATTCATTTAACAAGCTATCAGTAACATACTTAAAGCAAAAAGAGAACATCTCTTTTATAGTTCATTCAACTGTCATACTATTAAGGCCTTTTTAGAATACAATATTTTTCTTAATATAAGGAAGAAACTACAGTATCAAGTGTTTTTTCTTTATAAAAGTAAAGATTTAGACAAAAAAAACGAATCTAAAAATCAAAAAAATTTATAGTCCCTCGACTCTGACATTGCAAATCGCTTCCTTAACGAATTTACTAGCTACTGAACAGCTATTGGCTGATTTTTTAAGATCCTAAAGGAAAAAATTTCAAGAACTCCTATTCTTGTTTTAAAGTGTGCATAATATTTGAAAGTTACTGTCAAAAGTTCAGTGCATCGAAAAGCACGAAGGTTTCGATAAAAATGGCTTTTATTGTAACCACAGAAACAGACCACAGTAATGGCGGCATTTTTTTTAAAGAAATACAATCAGCAGGATGAAAGTTTCATTAAGACATTACATAGTTAGAAGCCTCGGCTCATCGAGTTTACTGAAAATATGGTGATCGCCACCTTCTACATTAGCTAGTAAACCTATCGGGTAAAACGTGGAGATCATCGACTATTAGGTAAAACAGAAGAATTTCAATTTAATAATATAGTACGCAATCGACAACATTTTTTATTTATAGTATCTTTAGAATTTTTAATGTTCTTCTAGTAATGCTTTTATTAAATTTTGTCGACTGTATCTTTTATTTAGTAATTCTTTGTATTGATTAGAAAGCATGTCAAAATTTACTTTCTAATTTATTTTATTTAGTATAATTCCCGTTCCTTTCATATTCCCTAGGGATTATTTACATTCTTTGAGGAATCTATATTCTCTGGTAGCGTTCAGAGAATTCGAGTATATGACATCGAAATTTCTCTTGGAATATAATAAACTCATGAATTATGTGATGTTTGAAGTTAGAGTAGAGAAAAATCGTAAAATTTAGTAATCTACTATCTATCCATTTCGAAATACAACGGAAAAAAGTATTTTTTGAATAACTTTTTAACAGAAAGAGTCAGAACCATGCAGTTTCCAGTATTTGATAGAGGAGCTACTGGAAAAGAAATCTATGGAAAAATTAGGACTTCCGATCAGATCTACCATGGTGTACCTCGTCGAACAAAATCTGAAAGCTTTCCATTTCAAGAGAAATAATGTATTATGAATTCTTTAATTTTCGGTGAAAATAATGAAAAGTGGATTCTTTTTGGTCGAGTGAAGATTTTGCCTAGACGTTTTCGACGTTACAAACATTGCCATAAGATTCAGCGTGATCGGTAACCTATGTTCCATGTGTTTTGAAAGTGACCAAACATGAATTTTAGCCAATAGATAGGTCTTGGGAAAATGTTCGTATGGAAGTAAGAATTTGGAACTTGAGTAGTTTTTTTAACAGACATCTTTATACGAGCAGATTTTTACATTTTCATCAAATGTTCATCTTTTATATATTCAAGTGCGGACTGTAAACTTATTTCATATTGCATCAATTCCGCGAACTAAAATTACACTAATTAGAGACGATCCATTTCCATTTTTTATACTGCTTTAAAGTACATGAGTTGTACACGACTGATCTATTTTTTAGCAAAGCATCCGTTTTAGTCTTTGAGATTTATGTCAGGGAATATCCTTGATTATCGTCTAAAAAAGCAAGTTTTCGAGATAAGTCAAAGAAGTCTCTGCACGTTGAGCAAGCAAAAACTTGCTTTTTTAGACAGCAGTCAACGATATACACAGTGTCTTCCTTATATTAAGAAAAATATTGTATCCTAAAAAAGCCTAAATAGTATGACAGCTGTATGAACTATAAAACAGAGTCCTGTCGGACAAAGTTTTCGGTTGCACCGGGACCGTAAGCTCGAGCCAGAACATAAACACTTCTATCCCATCCCGTAAACAAATAATGTTGTCATGAACCCGTGTGTCCCGTGAGAAACGTTTACGGGCTTTTTGGTCCCGTCTCGTTTCTCCTGTAGTTTTTTGAAAAAGCTTTTCTGTTGAGATAAACCGTAACTGTTATAAGAGACGCGTAAAGTCTCAAACTTATTTTTGCAAAATCCGTATGACAAACCTTAAGCCAAATTTATTTGATTCTAAACTTAAAAGTTGCTGTATAATAGAATGTTTTACATCCACTCACTGCCTCAGAATCGAAACGAAAGAACTGTAAACCGAGTTTTGGACATGAAATATCTTTGATTTGATAGTATTACAAGAATTAAACATTTGAAGTTGCAGCATAATTCCAATCAAAAGACAAAACTGACCGGGCAACATTTTTCTGCGACTTGTCTCGATCCTGTAAGCCCGAGCGAGTCCGTGAACCCAAGTCCGTAAAGTTGGTATAAACTTTATTTGAAAATGAAGAAAATCTTAATACAAATCGAAATCGCAATCCAATGGATTACATTATATCAATTTGCAAAAGAGCCCTAAAAAACGGATGAGTCAGGAAGATAATAAAAGACATACAAAATAATGAAAAAAGAGAATTGGAAAGAGAAAGAAAAAGATTGATCATCTGTACAGAGAAATATGACTAAAGAAAAGCATATTATAGAAGATGTTGAAAGGTAGAGTAGTTTTAGTGATCAGATGACCCTCTGGGCAACAGAGAGACGACTTCCAACGGATTCGTACAGATATGACATAGGATTGCATCAGCTTCGGTATCAAAAACAGCAAAAGGAGACAGGCACTTAAAAGCGTTTAGTTTTGGAAATACAGGAGGATTTCGATCGGGGTTAAGCGCATTATCTCAACTTGGTTATTATCCGAGATAAAATCACATATACAGTCATAAACAATCAGAAATGTCTGTTTATTCGGAATATCTTTCAAGAGAAAAGTATCCAAGTCTAGTTTGATGCCCGCATTGTGGAATTTTGAGAATAATATATTTCATGAATGATTATAATGAGAGCATTTAAAGAAAACATGTTTCATGCCCTCAACTAGTTCAATGGAGGGAGATAACTAAACAGTTTTCACAAAGACTTTTGGAAACAAGTTTATGCTGGCCGTGAAGTTATTTTTTTGTCACGAGTCTGTCTGTCATGCCAGACGGAACTGGATTCAGGGTTGTCCAGGAGGACTCTACCATAAAAGAGATGTTTTCTTTTTGTTTTAAATATGTTACCGAAAGCTTGCTAAATGAGCAAGATAACATTCATCTTCGATTCACCCAGCCCTTGACTGAAAACTCTGTTCCGACGAGCTGAATCAGCGACGATCATTGCATAGCTTAGGGCTTCCTTCGGTCGGCCTTCGCCTAAAATACGTCAAGTATGTAGACAAAGGCGTGTGATTTTTATTTTCTGACGATCACGTTGATTGTCCTTGCGACTCCTTAGCCATTTGCTAAAACTCTAAATTACATCGATACAATTACAGTAGGCTTTTATTCGAATTGTTGTGCTTTTCTCCTAGGATAGATTTCGGAGTGCGCTGGAAAGATGCGTGTGGTGTTGATCGAAACGGTATGTTTTCTCTTAGTGATTTATCAGTGAAATAATCGGAGATGTGCAATAAATTCTACCACATTGTGATTATCTATATCTTGAAGTGGATTTTCTATGCTTCAGTGGCAGTCATATATCTGATCATTTTTTCCTATCTAGTCACTGATATTATTGTCAATCACTACCGCTCATATTCAAATAAAAATCACTCACAAAAATTGAAAGTTTGGCTCAAGAGCGTAAAAGTTCTTCGCTGGAATATTTCGAATGCAAAACTTCTATAATTTAGGGTAAAGCATGATTAATCAAATCCTAGCTAAATTAACTAGCAAGAGCCTATCGTTGATATAACTAAAACTATTGTGGGAATTGCATGGTATATTGTACGATTTCTCCTTGCATCAAGAAGTGATTCTTCTTCTCTACGTGCACTTGGTTCTGCCTATGTTTATTTTGAATCGCATGTCCTGCACAAATTTCTGCAGAAACTGTTGACAATACGAGTAAATTTCAGACAACACTAGGAGTTGGTTAACATCTGAACTGAATTAATAACCAAAATTCTAACTTTTGTAAGTGATTGATTCGAATATGAGCGGTAGCGATTAATAATAATATCAGTGACTAGATCGAAACGAGAAGCAAGAAACTGTCTGAAACAGGCAGAATAACATCATAACAAGCATCTGATACCATAAGTCTAATTGTTCTTTATTCAATTCTGAAAAATGATCAAATGTACGACTATCAGAGAACCAGACTGCCTTTTCTTATAGAGATTTTTATCTCGTCCTATTAATCATATCAAGTGACATTCCAACTGTTATTGGGTGATTGGTGAGAATCGTGCGCATTCATCGTTGTGAGTGTGTGTAATTTTTTTTAATAAATCAGTTGTTTCACATTTTACATTCTTTTGTTTTTTTTGAGTAATGTTATCGGTGAAAAATAAATGTTTCAAAACGTAGTAGAGTATTTTTATGAAAAATTTTGAATGATCATTAGTTGTAATTTGAGAGTAGAACATCATATATTTCAAGTACATTTATTTTCCTGTACATCAGTTCATGTATATCCAATAATTGACTACACATTTTTCGAGCATAATATTACTGACTCTTCTTGTTTCTCGATCAAACATTATACACAACTGTAGAAATCACTTCTTATCTCTCTCTTCTATGTAGAATTTGATAGCTGTTTTTATGATCATTAAAACAGAAGAAGTTTTCTTCTCATTTCTTATACATGCATATGTTTACAATTTCTGTTCGACAAGTATAAAAGAAATATACCTTAATAATGTTGATCATGCCAGTAAATTTGTTTCCAGTCATTTTTATTTTTATCAATTGGTTTTCTTGTCACGCCATCATATTTACATGTCCTATGAAATGTCAATGTATAGATAATATGATTATTTGTGATAATGTAAAAAATTTAACATTAATTGATTTAAATCGTATATTATTGACCGATAGTAGATTTATAACCGATTTTTATGTTACTAATAATAATATTCAAAATCTCAATATTCCACTTAAAGTTAAAATATCTAAAAAACTTATTCGTGTAAATTATTCATCAAATATGATACGAACAATTGATGATCGATATTTCGAGCAGATGTCATCATTAGAATTACTTAATTTAGACTATAATCAACTTGAATCTAGTTCAATACGATCATTTAAATGGTTAAAATCGTTAAAATATTTATATTTAAAACAAGCTTTTCATTGGAGTATAACCGGACCAAATAATCAACAATTAAATGACTTTTTAAATATATTAAAATTTCTCTCGAATGCTTCTTATTTACCATATTTAGAAGAATTACATTTAGAATCTAATAATTTAAAAATAATCGATATTATTTGGTCAAAAATTGATCTACATTGTCTATTTCCAACATTAAAAATGTTATTTTTAACAAATAATAATTTCAATGATGCCATTTTTCAAACATCATGTCAAACTCAAATAATAATGATTAGCCTTGTATCAAATAAAATACACGCTTTATCTTACAATTCAATTCAATCGTTAGAATGGTTAAAAATGAATAAAGAAAATTTTCAGTTATTAATTGAATTTAATCCATTTATTTGTAATTGTACAACGGAATACTTTATGGAATGGTTTAGTACTACTACAATAATACAAAAAAATGTTCAACAGTCGTATGCATTTCAATGTTTTAATGAATATAATAACAATCAAACATTATTTAATGTCAACACTAATAAATGTTTTCAAGCAAAAAAACATTTTAATCTAACAATAATCGTTTCAGTAGTACTATCTCTAACTATTCTTGCTTTAATTGTATTAGGTATAGTTTATAAATGTAGAAAACAGAAGGTAAGAGCACGTACAAGAACGGTGACATCTTATTTAGATCAAAATACAACATATCTTCGATGTGATAATGTTGAAGACGGTGTAGAATTAGTTAAAAATTAAAGAGATTCGGTTTTTTTTTCATTATTATTATTTTTTTTTTGTGGAAATAAATGTTCTAGTCTGTTTCTCTATACAGCAGAGCTGGCGGCAGACCGCCCGAAAACTGTAAACTCGTCTTATAATCTATATCACTGACAGAAAAATAAAGTTCATTTAGAGTGGCATAAAGGTGCTTTTTCGTATTCAGCAGACTCGATAGCTCAGAAGATTTTCTATTTTTGGCAAGACGTATGGCTAAAAATTTAACAAAAATTTTGAAACTAATATTATTTTCCTGTAGAAATATTTTTTAGCCATTATGTTTGAAAAATTTTCCTAAACTTTTTACAACATCTCGTACAGAAAATACAAATTTCTGGACTATCGAGTGTGCTGAATATAAAAAAGCACATTTTCGCAACTCTGTATGAACTTTATTCTTTTCTTTACGTTGATATGCATTTAAACGAGGAACCGAAAGTGATAAATCACTTTCGGGTCGAATCCTAATAGACTATAGATAGTCGACCATGTAGTATCCAAATATCAACATAAGACGTGCTGCTAGGCTTCAGGAGACCGGCTTTCTGGGAAACCAGAAAGACTTTCCAGAAACTCCAGAAAATCTCCGAAACTTTTCTTAATAAGTCTTGTTTGCAGCTCACGAAATTCTGATTAAAATGAGACATCCTTCAGCTCTACACGATCTTCATTTCCTAAATTCCTTTTTCTTTTTATACTTCTGAACTGACAATGAACATTAGGGCTTTTCTTGTAGATTCTATCACTTTGCAAAGAAAGGTCGTGTAGAGCTGGAGAATGTCTCATTTTAATCAGAACTTCGCGCGCTACAAACACGACTTATTAAGTAAAGTTTTGACGAGATTGGTCACCATACAATCAACGCTCAAGAACTATTGAATAAAATATCTAATCGAGAGCCCTATATTACCATTTTTTTACTTGACTGTTGCCGTGCTTATCCACTTCCAGATAGAGCCCAGCGGTGGCGACTTTTTTGCCTCCGAAAACCGACTCCGGTCCCGAAATTTTTCTTTTTCTAACTCCGGCACCGGCACTGATTCCTTAAAAAAAAAGGTGCTCACCTCCGACTCCGCCTCCGACTCCGAGAAAAATTTCTCTCGGAGTTCGGTTCCAACTCCGAAAAACTCCGAAACTATTTAGTGAAAGTGAGCGACATCTGGTGGGTTTTTTTACAAAATTCAAAGACCCTTAGTACGATAAATGAATTAGCGAATGAAACGCAAGCAATTCTCTATCAGAGTGAATGAGTTTTTTTTAATCCATCGATTAATTACTTATTTAAGTATGAACAAGGTAACGCTCGTCTCCACTCGCTCGGTCCCTTGACTAGTTGGATCTGCGCAAGCGAACGCCCTTTGGTGACTTATAAATCGAACACAATGCTCACGCCTGCCTTTCTTGGCGGTGTTGACTCCGGTTTAAACTCCGAAAAATTCTTCTCGATAAGCTCCGACTCCGACTCCGAAAACTTCAATTCGACGGCCTCCGACTCCGACACCGACTTCGAAAATTTTGCGATCGTCACGTCCGACACCGCCTCCAACTCCGTCGGAGTCCGTGTCACCGTCGGAGTTCGGTGTCACCGCAGGGCCCTACTTCCAGAGGATAAGAGAAAGAAAGGTGTTGCTGCGTACGGTGGTTTAAACCAAATGACAGTCTCAGTCGGCTTGTTGATTGTGTTTGCATGCCTGACTCGCATGCATTGACATAGTCTTTTTACATCTCATTTGTTGAAACATTTGACAAAACCAAACGCAACTATTGAATCGATTTTAGTCGATGTATCGGCGGGTGTTCAAAAGGAAACAAAGCGAATGACGGTGCCGTATAGGACAAGTTGTCTTGCATCAAGAATATGTTTCGTCGAGTCAAATAATGAAAAAGCGAGATCGTTTGATTATACGAGGTCATCTGCTAATCAGATTTCTGTAAGTATGCATTATGTTAGGCCGAAAGAGAGCATTCGAAATCAGACAGTTTGAAAAGCGCGAGGATGAACCCAAATTATCAGCGGTTAACAATTAGACTGTTTTGCAGCCTGTTAGAATAAATACTCTTTGTTCAATACAAACTAGATACAATATTATTCTCTTTTTCGTTCTGTCTGTTCAGTCTAAAAATGTAGTGAGAGAAACCAGACAAAAGAATATAAGTTATATAGAACGGGAAAAGAAGAAGAAGAAAGAAAAAAAAGCGCTAGTTTCCATGTAAAACTAGCTTTTCGTTCATATCTCAAAAGCTAAGCGTTGTCTTGGAGAGGTGACAGCATAGCTGATTCAAACCACCTATAATATCTTTTATTAACCCATTTTTTTCAGAACCATTACAAAGAGGAGGGAAAGTTTCACAAGGTGCAAGTAATTCAAAGGATGAGCACTATTGTTTTTCTCGACGAATCATACATCAATATCAGTCATATAACGTGGACTGAAAATTTCCGGATCCAGCGAAGGCCGAGAAACTGGACACCGTTCCGACCTTGTAAATCTATCTAGTTTTCTTGGTTAAATGACGAAGCCATATTTCATATGTCGTTCAAACCGTTACACTCTCAAGAAAAATGGGGAGCATCGTTTTCTTTCTATCTTAATTCCATATTAAGAAATTCATTTATTCCAAATCTGAGGCGAAAAAGTCAGAATTCTGCTGGTAATTCTCAATTTTCTCCATCGGAACTCGACTTTTATGCAATAAAAATATATTCGGGATCTGGATCAAAAACTGAGTCGACTAATATATATTTCGAAATTTTTACTTGATTTTCATTTTTTTTTGTTACAATTGAAGTAAGTACATTAGTCGACTCAGTGTTTGATCCTGATGCCGAATACGATATTTGTATTGCAGAAAGTTTAGTTCTGATTAGAAAATTGAGAATTACGAGCAGAATTTTGACTTTTCGCCTCAGATTTAGAAAAAATGAATTTCTTAGCATGGAATTGAGATAGAAAAAAAAAACGTCCAATTTTACTTTACTCTGAGAAGCTAAATTTACTAAATTAGCGCTCAGTGATCCAAGCAAAAAAAGATGAAGCTTGAATTGGTCGTTGGAGCTAGTAGTGATTGCATGAGAAAAACGCCTGCTTTCCGCAGAGGCACGCTCAGTGACCATCTTGAATTTTTTTCAGACCAATTCCATTGTGTAGAGCATTTGTGAAAACCTAATGCTTTTGGGTGTTATATATGCAATACATGTTTCATAATCATAAGAACTTTGCTTTTGATTTTTCAATAGAAACTAGAATCAGTTTGAATATTCGGAAGATTTTGCTATCAGACGAAGAGCATTTCGCCATTTTATGAGAAAATTTGCTAGGATTTTTGGAAAACCACGTATTTGGTTTTTGAGAAACTCCTAGGAGATATATTATTTTGCTCAGAATTCTTTGCTTTATAAGACTATGGTTTGCAAAAATTTCTGACCAAAAACCAAATACTTGGTTCTTAAGAAACCCTAGCAAGTTTTCTCATAAAATGGCGATATGCTCTTCGTCTGATAGAAAAATCTTCCGGATATTCAAATCAGTATTCAAATTAGTTCCATGTTTTATTGAAAAATCAAAAGCAAAGCAGTTCTTATGATTATGAAACACTGTACTGCATATATAACACCCAGACGCTTCTTTGCATATCTTTGATCCGTTGTTCTATTGTCAAGCAAAATCAGCAACTTATGCGATTCATTATGCTGGCGAGAGTTCTCGCACTTGCCTAACTATCACAGCAACAACAAGAAAGTCAATCAGAATTACCATCACAACGCCCCACGTCAGATTGGTTAAACATAAGCCACCCATTAATAAAGCCAGCTGATCTTTGCTTTGATGCTCCTCCACCGGTAGCTAATAATGTATTATTCGATAAAATTTATGGTTCAATGCTTGCAATGGCAATTGGAGATGCGCTAGGTGCACACGTCGAATTTAGGCCAAGAGTCTAGTTAGATGAAAATCCCGTTAAAAATCTGCAGGGGGAGGCACGTGGGGTTTAGAAGCCGGTCAATGGACGGATGATACCTCAATGACACTGTGTCTCGCATCGAGTCTTATCGTGAAGAAAGGTTTTGCTGCTTACGATCAACTTGTTCGATATAAATGGTGGTGGCGACAAGGCTGCATGTCATCGACTGGAAGGTGTTTTGATAGCGGACATTCAACAAAAGCAGCACTAGATGAATTTGTTAATAGACAGCACAAATTCAAACAGAACTTGAACATTGACTTCAAAGAATTGGATTTATTAACAGAAACTTTAGTAGAAGAATTTGACACTAAGTGTAGTCGGGAAAATATTGTTAGTAACGGTTCATTGATGCGTCTAGCTCCTGTGCTGTTGTTCTATTGTCAAGCAAAATCAGCAACTTATGCGATTCATTATGCTGGCGAGAGTTTTCGTATAACTCATGCTGGAAAAAAAGCAGTAGATGCATGCCGCTTCTATGGATTTTTACTATACGCTGCTCTAAATGGTCGTTCAAAGCACGATTTGTTAGACAAAAAATTTTACGAACTAAAGCTGAACGCTGGTTGGTATGGCAGTGAACCATTACATCCAGATATCGTTCGTGTAGCTGAGGGTTCATATCAAACAAAAGATCGAAATAAAATAAAAGCAAGTGTGATGGCTGAACAAACATTAGAAGCCGCTAGGTGGGCTTTTTACAATGATGGTGATTCATTTCATGTCGGTGTTTTGAAATGCGTCAACTTAGGCGATAGGCGATGATACGGATACTGTAGCGGCCATCTACGGTCAGCTAGCCGGTGCTACATATGGTGAGAAACAGTTACCGAAAGATTGGTCGGAACTAATATATGCTAAAAATTTTATTGAAAACATTTCAAAATGGCTTCAATACGAAGACTATCAATGGAGTCAAGACCGTAGAGGCAATCAAGTGGAGTGATATTTCTAGAAATTTGAGACTAACATAAAAAGAATAGTGCATTCTATAAGCTCTAGTACTAATTTCTCTGTCTATGCAATAAAAATAGGCCATAAATTGTATCTGTTTGGGTTTGATAAACTTTCTAAAATAGAAAATACAGCAGTAGCACATTATGCTCAAACGTATGTATGAGACTCTCAACACCTTTGAGGAAATCTAACCCATTTTTGTTTTCATTTTGTCTTGAACAAATATCTGTTTATTAGATGCTGTAATAATGGTTTCGTTGTGCTAAATATGTTGCCACCCTATTATCCCAAGCAAAAAAAATATCGATTAATCGGCAATCTAGCTAGCTAACTCAGTATACTACCAATATAGCTAGCTCAATAAAAGTGGTACAAATAGCTGTTTTGAAATGCGTCAATTTAGGCGATGATACGGATACCGTAGCGGTCATCTACGATCAGCTAGCCGATGCTACATATGGTGAGAAACAGTTACCGAAAGAATGGTCGGAACTAATATATGCTAAAAATCTTATTGCTAACATTTCAAAATGGCTTCAATACGAAGGTTATCAATGGAACCAAGGAATGTGAAACAACAGAAACACAAGTCAGACAGCAGCGACAAGATCAACAGAATTTTGCATAGGAAATGACCTTTATAGTCTAAATACTTTTCAGCTGATTCTTGACAAGAACAAACAGATTGGTAAGTGTAACAAATTAGTGATGACAAAAAAATGCTTCATGCTACACCATACGTATGCGCATCAACTATGAAGAACAGAGAGAGTGGAAATAATGTTGTACATTATGAGCAAATACTATTAATTTAAGCTAAGATTGTTTAATGAATTTAACTTAAATTAGTGATGCAAACAAAAAAACAATTATACAGCGTTTGCTCAACTCCCCAGGCGAAAAAAAATCCTTAGAAACGCCATAAAAAACGCGTTTTTTCTGAACACGTTAGCGAACGATCGTTAAAAGTTCCTTACTATTACCTTTTTTTAGGAACGACTTTTTAAAAAAAGATTTGTTTTAAAGCGTGTAGTTTTGACGTTAGAAAGTAGCACACACCGTAACTTTTACATAGACATAAATCAATATTTTTTTGACGTAGTTGAAATGTAGGACGATTCAAAGTGAGATATTTTTTTAAATTTGAAGTACTTTTTGTCATCGTGACTGGCATGCAGAAAGCAAAAGTCAAATGACAGGTAAACATTTATCATTTAGCATCAAATTATGAGTAATATGACACCAAAAAAGAATTGAGTCCTTTTTCACTTAGACCGATTGGAAGCCGGAACAAGTCGAAATAAAGTATGCTCCGATATAAAGTGCAGGCAATTCAAACTTCAAGTAAAAATTTTTTTTTGCCGTTTTTTTTACATCATTTGATAGAGTGAGAGTTGCTGATCACGAAAAACAACTTTTTACCTTACACAGGCACTCGTTGAGGAACGTTGAAGAGTTGAAAATCAATAAAAAGAAACGTCTCATAATATTTTCAAAAATTTAAATTAGTTTTAAAACGTCGCAAAAACTTTCATCGACTTTCGAGCATTGATGAAGAAGCATTTGGGTTTCGTCAACGACATTTTTACTCATGTGAGAGCTGTAGGATTTTAATGAATACGCTAGTTTTCTAGTAAAAGTATTGAACTACATGGATTGCGAAAATTACGTATAAAACATTCTGAATAATATAAAACATTGCGACTTTCGCTCAAAATTCACTTTAGTTTGGTCTGATAAACTGAAGCAAGGGAGGAAAGGAGCTATTGTAGCAAGCATTTATATGCGAAGATTAAAATAAAATGCAATGTACAGGTTTAAGTATGATTTTCGCCGACGTGAGCATAAAATCATTTAAAAAAGTACCGGTTTCTTACAGTGCCATTTTTCTTGGCATTCCTACGATAATGAGTCGAAAAAAACGACATCTCTCTCCCTCCAACGGGGGTAACATAAATAGAAGTCGCCAGCGTAGGTGCATTTGGTATATTGATTCGACCTTCTGTCATTGTTTTTACTGGCGCAGTCCACATACCACTACGCGCTAGAAATTGTTAGAGGTGGTACTATCCACTGACTTTAGCTACACCATGAAGGTCTCTCCACGTGGTACAGTAGGATTTTGTAAAAGTGGACGGATGGGTAGACCTGATCGTTGATGGTAAGAATCAGAAACAGTTGTCTGTGAAACAGAGTGTTTTCCTAGATTTTAATCGCAAGCTGTTGAGTTTATGTATAGGACAAAAGACTGTGATGTTGACTTGGATTGTTTATGTATTGCCATGACCATTTTTTGTCCCTATAATAATTTCTAGTTTGTTTATTACCTTGATTAATTCGTTTAGTACCTTGATTCTACGGTCTTCCAGGAAACGAGTTGCCCTCATTCGTGACATGCCTCTTTCGCGAACAAGGCTTTTGCCGCAGCGAAAAATCTTGAATACAGATATTGATAAATCTTTAAAGATTTATCAAGTTTCGTGCGAGATCTTTCAAGAACTTGTGCAGACTTGTCAAAATCTTTCAAGATTCTGGATGGAAAGCAGTGCTGTAGATTTTTTACAAGTTTTGTATCAGAATCTGCCTTGATAAATCGTGAGCAGATCTTGTCAAGCTATTTCAAGAATTCTGAAATGATTAATTTAACACACAATAATCAGAATCTTCATTGACAGTGCATGGGAATGAAAATTTTTTTCAATGCTCTGCAATACAAGTATTTATTCTTATATATGCACAAACATTGTCAAACAAAATGGTGATTTAAGGAACAATATATTTATTTGTCTACCCTGTCGAACAACAGAACTTTAGCAGAAGTCTTCTATACTGTACTGCTACAATAACTATAAATAAATGCATAGTTGTGATATTTACATTTTTGTCGAGCTTCTGAGTCGTGTCTTAATCTGAATGATTGGTAATTTTCTTTTTAGCAAAGACTTTGTTAATTACAGAAAACTTTTCAAATCTTGTCAAGATCTTGATCAAGATTTTTTTAGGCAGATTTCTCAAAAAAAATTGACAAGAATTGTTGAATATTCTTTGAGATCACGAAACTTAACAGATCTTGTCTAGATATCAACTTTTAGAAAACGTTTTCTAATCTATATTAATATCGAAAAGAAACAATGAACACTGATGTAACAGAAACTCATTTCTTTATACATTTCTTGTATGAATTCACGAGATATTTATTAATCGACCGAAAAGTGAGGGCTACCATTTTTTTCCACATAGATACACAGCTTCTTGTGTATGTGTTAGCGGGAGTGAGTATGAAAGCAGTGTGAAAGTGAGTTCGAAAATAGTTAATAAACGTAGTTGCATAATGTACCCGTTACACTATTTGATAAAAACCACCAAATGTGGTTGTAACACTTGCCAAAACATGGATAGATCTACCATGCCAGCACGCACTTTTCAGTCGATTGTTAAATATTTCATGAATTAACGCAAGAAATATACAGAAATGGATTTTATTCCATCAATATTCATTATTTCTTTTCGATATTAATATAGATCAGATAAAACAAAAAACTTAACTGTTCAGCATTAAATCGCATGATAAAAGGCGAGCAACAGCCTTGTTCGCGAAAGAGCCGGTGAATCGCTGTCATTTAATGTCATGTTTAAAATGATGGTGGATGCAAGATGATCAGTGAATGTCAGGTTTTATTTTCAGTTGTTTTGGAATGGACACGCAATCTGTTCGTTCTCACACGCATTACAGAAGTGAGAACGTATAGCGGGTTAACCAGCAACATATGGTTGCTACATATCTAGCTTTGACAGGTTAAAAATTGGGTCAGGTAGCTGCAAGCGTTCACCTCACGATTTTTTCCTGCTTCTGTATATGGATTTTGTTCAGTTTAAGTGAAATGAAGAAACGCGGATACATTCTGTGTCTGTATTATAATACCATTCCATAAAATTTTATGGTGAAGATTGGCAGTAAATTTCAGTGTACAATGAAGAAGAAATAATTTGTTTAATGATCAAAGAGTTTTAAAATGTTGTTTAGGATTCACACTAGAAACAAACACGAGAGATGATTATGACACAAAGATAGCAAGCACAAGGAGAGTCAACTATGACTCGTTTCGTTAAACAAAGGCGAAAGACATCATAATGGCAGAACACCAGATTAAAAAAAAGAGTAACTAAGAAATAATGCAATGCTCTTACAAGAAACAAAAGAGATAGAAGCGGAGTCACAAGAGGTAGGGTATACCCTATTTTATATAATGAATGGCAGGCTAATCAAAAATCGGTCTGTCATTACAATAGGTTTTCATACAGCACTGAGTAAGTGAATTGGATCTGTAATCTATCGTTCGCTGTCATTTTCTGGTGAAGACTATAATTCGGCTACTTCACGTTGTACAAACCTGAAAATTTTTTTCAAGTAGGTGATGGATGTGGCTAGTTGATCTGCTTTGTTTAAAAAAATATCTCACTTTGAATCGTCCTACACTTCAGAATACGTGAAAAAAATATTGGTTTATGCCTATGTAAAAGTTACAGTGTGTGCCACTGTCTAGTGTCAAAACTACACGCTTTAAAACAAATCTTTTTTTTAAAAAGTCAAAAGAGTGCTAGTAATGAAAGTTCGACAAAATGTATCCCGCACGCACTTTTGATCTTGTAGTTTGATACCGTGACGCTTGACGAGTAAACTCCTAATACTGAATAACCATTATGAATGTATACAAAGATGGAAACGATATCTATCAATATCATGAAGATGCTTACTACGTAGTCTATTGCAATATTACCCATTCTTACTCACTCAATAATTATATTTATTCATCTTCTTTCTATGTTCTCCTTTTTTTCATCTTGGTCTGAAGTATGACACTGTAGTGTATTGTTGAATTCTACTTCTTTTTTGCTTTCGTTGGATTCAAATGAAGAAACAATCACCTATGAACAGTAAAAAGAAAAATCAATATTGTATTTAATCAAGTAACTAAACAGAAACTAGACGATCTCACCAATTAAAGTTTGATCATCTGTATTTGTTAAAAAGTGATTTGCATTTAAACAGATGTAACAGTAAGTGTAGAAGTTATTACACAACACTTCACTTTTGTGCATAATTTTCATTGTTCGTTATTAATTATTATTAGTTATTAGTCGTCACTATCACTAGGCTATTATTAAAGTTTTGAAGGTATTACAATTGTAGTTATGATAATTTAAAAGTTAATATTTAATTTCCATCTTAAAACAGTCAGTAAAACTTCACACGATACAAAAACTGAAGGTTTTATTCAACATAAATGCTTTTATACCATTTTTACATGAATAAATAGTTTTCGAGAGTAAAAAGATACATTAATCTAATATATGCGCTTAACTAACCCGTTCTGTGAGCGAGATTCGAACTTTTATCAATAAATCTATTCGTAAAAATTCTTTGTATTTGGCAAACTTGGGGTGAATAGAGGTCGATTATTCGATAAATAATGATCTTGTGATTGTTGTTCGTTAATTAAAGAAGCAGAACTCGACATTAGTAATCCATTATTTGGTTGACATTGAAGGAGTTGTTGGTGGGTATTGTAAAGGTATTCCTTTAACAGAACAAATCTATTTCGTACGTGAATGAAAAAATAAGTTCTTAAGAGTTGACTGAAGTCACGAATGAACATGTTTGTGTATATAGAGACCAAAGCAAAAAGCTGTCTAAATCACGCACAATAGATATCTACTATTTCTGTGTACTTCGTGGAACAAATTAGTTTTACTACTAAAAATCTGACAATGAAAGTGGTTCAACTTCTTTTATAATCGATGAGGCTTTCACTGAACTAAAACAGAGTGTTGTTTTTGTATTATTCTACCTTTTAGCCAAGGTGATAAGATTTGTAAAAGAGAAAATATTAATCTTGTTACAATACCGGCGGCGGTGACTGTTGTTGTTGGTTCTGATATAATGGCATTTGTATTGTATTTGACATTATCGTCGAACGTGAGTGATTTTGCATTGGTATATCAGGTGAAAATAACATTTCCCCTTGGCCATTAGTATTATGTAATTGATTAGTACCGTTTTCGGGAGATGCTACGCTGCGTAGATCCTTGCCATTTAGATTTGGGATTATATGTCCACTGGAACAGTGCGGGCTATAACATAAATTTAATGAAATAACGTCAGGGTCGTTAAGATTGGTCGGTCATTACCAGAGATAAGAAATCACGACAACTTGGGATGATTGCAAATCAAGACTTGGGCTGAACAGATTTTGTCCGTTGTGTGTCGTAATTAGTGATGGAATAGTGTTTATTCGTGCAGAGGCTGGAAACATATTAAAAATCTCGTTTGAATGTCACACATTGATCTATGATGAACGATACTCACCAGGACGTATGATTCGTTCATCTGTTTCATTTGGTGAGAAATCCATAACACCGCCATCGCTTTCTATCGCTACGTCTATAGACTTGAACAAGAGACAAATACAAACAGTTTACTTAGAGGACGGACAACAGTCTTTTCGAAGTGAGTGACAGTCACAAACGTAAAACCGATCAAAAATGGACAAAAATAAAAAATTTCAACTATATGATACTCTACTTTTCAAGATTTACAGCATTCTAGTTTAAGCTGTTGTTTTGAACAAGAACGAAATCGAGAATGTATAAGTCGCATTATATTATTCTTGTTTTTTAAACTATCAAAAGATAAAATCAATCTTACTCTTCAGATGCGATGTTCATTACTTAAGCATAGATGAATATAGTAAACCTTTGATCTTGTTCAGACAGTCAGCACTACTTTATCAGTAAACGGAAGAAAACTTACGTTTGAATTCTGTGGCGTGGACAGGACATGCCCTAAAATAAGTTTGTTCTGCAGTACATACAGTCACTATACGAAATGGAAAAAAATGCGTCGTCTCCTAAATGCGATCAGAATTTAAGCCAATTAGTATAAACGTGGTCGCAAATTGGAATGAGTAACGTTAAGTTCCTCCGCCATAATAGAAGGCCATGGTGTTCTGTTATGGTTTCGCACATCGTACTTTTTTGGTGAAAAACTGCCCTATCTCTAGGGTGTTTTTCAAAAATTTTTGCTCCAGACTGGCCTTCTGTTACAGGGGTTACATGGGTCTCATTTTTATTGTGTTTCCAAAAAGCGACCACTTTTTAACTAATGAGTAATTAACAGGCGTAATTTGAAATATAAATATATAAATTAGTCACTTTCTAGAATTAATAGAGTACCACAGAAGTAGAAACATATATAATACGAATCAGTCACTATATATTTATGGATAATATGCAGTTATTCTAAAAACTGCCTACATTTATGGACGAACGTCAAAATAAGAACCAACCACTAGAGCAAAATGATTAATTTTGATTAATAATCAATAAAATATATCTTAAAAATTATTTCTGGCAAAAGAATATTTTATAGTATAGGAAAATTTGATTATGAGTTCTATCTGATTGATAATATAAGCGTGCGGTCTAGGCCTGTGACAGTCCACAGTTCCCTGTACTGCAGTTTCTCGATAACGGGAACTGCTTTTCAGTTTGCGTTCAATGAATGGGAACGGTTTTTCAGTTTTCCTGAGTACGACGGAACGGTTTTTCGTTCCTGAGCCAGGAACGATCCGGCAGCTCACGTTTCTAGAAATGAGGAACGGTTCACCAGTTCCACTTCCTGCCTACAGGAACTACAGTTCTTTATTAACTGGAAACTGTTTAGTGTCCTGTACTGATTTGTTGATATATTATGTATTTCATTTTGCAAACATAAGATTTTGAAAGAGTGAACACCGAAAAGAGATATGCTCAAAGAGACTTCCAGATTAGCTGGTAGACTTTGCTGATTGAATATTGTTCGTTACTTCTTAAGATCTTGATCTACCAGCTACCAATACCAGCTACAAGTATAGCTGGCGAAAGAACATTTTCGCAAGCTAATAATTTTACAAGGAAAAATCGACTAAGTTCAGTAACAACGAGAATGTCTATGTTTGAAAGACAAAGTATGAATGTTGGTAGTTTTTGTTATGTTGATTACTAGTATCTCTGTGAAACTTTACTCAGAAACAAGCATATAAAGGAACGACGTCAAATAAACCGTCGTATTCACATTGAACCGCAAAATGCACTGACATGCTAGAGCAGATAGAACGCTAGTGGATAAAGAAGAAAAAGAAGTTCAAGTATAGCATACAGTTTTCAGTTCAAAAAGAACTGTAATTCCCGTTCGCAGAAACTAGAACTGGTGAACCGTTCCTCGTTTCTAGAAACGTGAACTGCTGAATCGTTTCTAGTTCAGGAACGAAAACTGAAAAACAGTTCTCGTTCAAAGAACGGGAACCGCGAACTGTCTCAGACCTAGTGCGAATGAAAGTCATACTTTATTTAAAACTGGACATAAACTTTACTTGGTCAAAAACGTAGAAAGGTGAAAAAACAGTTTTGTATAAAAATCAGAACGGATTGTTAGTATACATCTGTACATTCAAATCTTGTTCTCATGATGCAATTATAAGATTTAGTGACACAAATTATAATAATGATCGAAAATTATTTGATAATGTTCAAACTATACTAACTGGACTATACCGTCGAGTATTAACTGATGCCGATAAATCAACACCCAACATTTACGAAGAAGAGATAAACAACTTTGTAAGTATTTGTTCTTTTCTTTTATACGAATACAAGACCATCGATCCAGTCCATTCACGAACAGTCTTGCAGGAAACATCAAAGAACGTTGGTCTTTAAAGTTATGACTGTATTTTGATCAGTAAGTGATTGCTTCTGTTCTTTTTGATACAGCTACCATCGTACCAGTTTTCGGTGGGTGGAAATCAACTTTATATCCTATTCGCAAAACAATATTACATCCAGTATCGACAACTATCATCTATTGCAATTTCACATTATAATATATGCATTATAATACTATAAAACAACAATTTTTACTTTTGCAATTCAAGTTACCAACAGTACACAAAGTTATCGCATTTTCATCAGAGTCAGCATAAAAACGTTAAATGAAGAAGCGTCACTGAATCCGGATCTCTGGACATAGATCACCGAAGTTCATTCATCTGAAGAATCTGTTATGAGTCGCTATGAGCAAGAACAAAGTCAAAAACGTACAACAAGACCAAGGAAAAATAATACGTGATGATAACAAACTTAAATTAGCAAAATCAAAATATCTCCAAGATAAAAACATCGATAGTTATACACAAGTTTTACGAGCTCTTTCTCATCGGTATATAGACGTTATAAAAGATAGCAGAGATAACAGTGACGAAGACTAAATTCTTTGTTTATACAGCTGTGTTATTCATAAATATATAGTCACTGATTCATATTATATATGTTTCTACTGCTTTGGTATTCTATTGATTCTACAAAGCGACTAATATCTAAAAATTAAATTACGCCTGTTAATTACTCATTAGTTAAAACCGATCAAAAATGCACAGTTGCGCAATAAAACTGAGATCAATATAACTTTAGTCGTTCCAATTTGCGAGTACTTTTATTATAATTGACTTAAATTTTGATCGCATTTAGGAAGTAGCCAAAAAATAAGTTACAAAGTCATTCTTACCTTGACCTTCTTTTTCTTCCATAATACTAAAAGAAAATTAGAAAAAATCAAAACTATCGGTAACGAAATTATTTGCTACAAAATTTCTGCCGAAAAGAAATAACCAATAAGAAAGCTAGTCTAACGACATTTTGTAAGTAGATTTTTGAAAAATAAAACCGAAAAGAAACTTTATACTCACTTTGCAAGAATATCCGTAATTGGTCTATATATCGGAGTAGTCTTCCTCAGTTCGTCGTCTAAAACAATTTTAAACTTGATTTTTTACTCTCTTTAAAATCTAATTAAATAACGTAAAAATACCATAATAACGACGAAAATCTGTATAACGGTTATATTTTGCAGTGTTGCCGTTGATATCATCATTAAAATCCGACAAGATTTGGATCCTGGTCGCCATTTCTTCATTGGCATCGCACACAAATTTGCATAAATCACCTATTAAATTAGCTGAATCAAATGTTCGTTTTTGAAATTTTCTTCTTGAATCTGAAATACATATACCATTATATAATTGAAATACAATATTACAATATAGCAATGTTTTCGCTTGTGCCAATGTAAATAATTTTAAATACTTAAATGTGTTTACATACACAATTATTATGCGTTTAAATATTAAAAACGAATGCTACTAAACATATTCAAAATGAAATATCTGGATGGGTTTAAACATGTTCACACGGCAGACGTTTTTAGCTCGTATGAAATTCAAGCATCTTCTCCTCTTATCACTGAAGATACGACCGTATTTGTTTATTTTTTCCATAAAAGTAAATGAAATGCTAATTGCAGTTTTTTCTTGTATTTTTCTATCCAACAAATAGTAGTACTATTTGTTAAGTAATCCAATAGTATTTCTTTCCTGAAATAGATGACTTTTTTGTACATCTCTAGACTACAGATCATATCTCCTTAAATTTTATGAGACGATTATGGGCGCCAAAATATAAGGCCGATAGCCGTTTCTCGATAACTCCAAAATGATGGAAGAAAGAGACTTGCGATTTTCAACAAACGAAAATGGACACTTTAACCAATATTTTCACAGCAAAATCGCTGTCCAAAAATATCGGTAACATCGGTATTTTTTACAAGATCTTTGGAAAATCCGCTTGGATTTCTAGAAACTGACATAGGAGTCTATCGATTTTTTTGTACAGATAGATAGTCCGAAGTGTCCTCTATAAAATAAGATTTAAGAAAAAGCTTGGTTCGAGTGCTATAGATCTTTTTCCTGAAGCCTTAGGATTTCTCTAGGGAAGTCACAACAGAGATCTCTGTTGTTAGGTTTAGGACTTTTGGAATGCATGAAAACATAGATTATCGACTAAGCTGAGTCTCATGGCAATGTTTGTTCTGAGAAAAAGTTTTAGAGCCTAACGAAACCTAATTGTTACGAAAACCAGGCTTTTCAGACTGTTTCCAGTTAGTTTAAAAAATGCATAACTCACTCAAAATACATCAGAGCGAGTTGAAATCTTCAGGATATGGTTAATTTTATCAACTATACGTTATTATGGTAGCAATAAATTTGAAAAACCAATATTTTTTCAACAGTTTTCCAGAAGGCTGTCCAGAAAACTGCAGAGTTCTCTAGATTCTCTTTTGGTAGATTTCTTATAAGAAGAATATAAAGTAGTTCAGATGCTATACATTCTGAAGATTTTAACTCGCTCTGACGTATTCTGAGTGAGTTATGCATTTTTTAAACTAACTGGATACAGTCTGAAAAGCCTGGTTTCCGTAACAATTAGGTTTCGCTAGGCTCTAAAACTTTTTCTTGGAACAAACATTGCCACGAGACGCAGCATAGTCGATAATCTATGTTTTCATGCATTCCAAAGGTCCTAAACCTAACAACAGAGATCTCTGTTGTGACTTCCCTAGAGAAGGCTTCAGGCAAAAGATCTATAGCACTCGAACCAGGCTTTTTCTTAGATCTTATTTTATAGAGGACACTTCGGACTTCGGAAGAAAACGATAACTATCTCATCCGAATTCTGTGTTTATGTAGT